ACACCAGCAGGACCTCCACCTCCCACTCCTGTGAATCAACCCTTCACACCAGCAGGACCTCCACCGCCCACTCCTGTGAATCAACCCTTCACACCAGCAGGACCTCCACCGCCCACTCCTGTGAATCAACCTTTCACACCAGGAGGCAGTGCGCCAGGCACCCCTGGATTCGTGCCGGTGCCTGGTGGGGATTTTATTATTCCGATGACACCCATGCTCCCAGGCACACCAGGTCGAGCACCAGGAACTCCTGCATGGGCGCCAGTTCCTGGAGGGCACCTTGCTCCAGCGACACCTAACATTTTTGCAGAGGGAGCTGCAGCGCCAGCTCCATTGCATTCGCCTCTGCCATGCCCACCATCTGCTCCGTTGGTATCTCCAGACATGATTTCATCGGAGAGGCCAGAATCATCACTGTTGGGCGATTTCAACTCAGCGGAGATGAACTCAGCAGAGATGGTGTCACCAGAGATGATTGAGGAGCCACAGGAGCCTGAGGTGCCAACTGTGACGGAGACCTTCTCTATGCCGACATCGTGGATAGAGGGCACCGCAGATCCTCCTACCGAGGCATCTTGCATGCGCTTTGCTCACGGCATGGCTCGGTTGTCGTCGGTCGGTGACTTCAGGACTTGAAGTGGCATGTCATGTCCGCACAGTCCGCATGCAGGTAGCGACAACAGTGTCGGTCTCAGAGCCAAGCGCGGAGGCAGGAGGCTGCGTAGGCATGTAACTGCGGTAAGTGGCAAGTTTCAAAAGTGCTTTGTGGAGCACCGTAAGAGAGATAGAAGTGATAGACGTTTGTGAGACTGCTCGTGGCAGGGAGCGAAGAGACGTCGCCTGAATGCCTCTTGACTGAATCTGTTTAGTAAACTCCAAACAATCAGCCAAGTGTTTGCATTAATCTTGCACAGATCCCCTCAGAGGCCACTAGAAGTCAATCGAACAAGGGCATGCTGCAGCGAAGGTTGTTCCTGGCGACAGAGCCAGCGACGAACCACCGACTCTGCCACCTGATGTGCACAAGCCGTTCCGAACTTGATCTCTTGACTCGTCTTGTATTCCATGTGAACGGCTCTGTGGCACAGCAGGGGAGATCGGTGGGTAGTGGGTAGCAGTCTATTCCCCTGGGCTAAGCCTACAGCCATGCTTGTAGCCTGAATCCCATCTTCCACTTGCCCTCGAGCTCAGGACAATCCCATCTAGTGATGCCGCATCCACGGAAGAACCACCTCGATGATCCTTGACTTGCAAGGGCTGCCGGAGGCCACGTCACCTGTGGGTTAGCACGGATTCCTGCACGACAATGTGGAGTCGCTTTTGCATTTTTTGTCGCAGACCCATCCCGTGCGGTACGGTTACAGGCTTGCGCAGCAGCCTCGACGAGATGCCTCTGAGGACCAGCACTGGACTAGACGTATCAAGACGCTCTGCCGGTGCTTTCAGAGATCTCCGCATAGCTCCTGCCTGATCGGACAGCATGCGCAGCGGAATCGCAGAGCTCCTAAAGCAGAAGCCCACGGGTGGAGGGTGGTCCTATCCTGCAAGTTGTCAGACGGTTCACTTGAAGCGACAGCGACAATCGGACTGTTTGAAGTTTGAGTACACCATGCATGGATAGGGCAGTGCCCCACCCTTCTGGCTGCAGTCCTAGCTGCAGCTTTGTCCGCATGACTTCCGGAGCTCTGAACAAAACCTCTCGTGAAGATTGTTGCAGTTGCCACATGTCGTCTGCTGAAGCCATGGCCATGTCAAGATGTAAGAAAGATGAAGAGAGATGGGATAGCCATGTGTGATCAGTACAGTCGTCAAGGCGCATGTCATGTTGGCTCAGCTGGCTCGGGGAATGTGCAGAAGACACTGACATCATGATCAAGGAGACTAAGCTCTGAACTCAGCCCGATATGTCTTGGAGAAACTAGAAAGCGGCATTCCCAAGCCAAGGTTTGCGCCGACAGGCATTCTCTACTCCAAGGCAGAGAATGGGCAGCAGAAGGGGCCGTGCCTTGCCCAGGACACCTCCCCTGATATACGAAAGCCCTGAACGTCTGCTGGGCCATGTACTCTTGTGGACGATTGTGCAAAAGAGGCATAGTAGATCTCCAGAAGCCACAGAAGCGGTTTAACCGTTTCATCTCCTGGAAAGGCTCGTGCGTGAGTTTGGTTGGAGCGCTGGCAAGATAGAATGCAGTGTCGTGCCGTAGGTTTCCTTAGCATTAGCATCCACGTCCTCCAACCCGTACTTATTCTCCAAGACCCAGCTCGTCACCAATTCGTCCATCTAGATGAGCAGCTACCCCCTGCGAACGAGTTTTTCAAGCGCAATGAGGTTCAAGGTGGGTGGCTTGGAGCGCGCCCCACGAAGCGGGGAGCATCCCTTCGAGGCGCTCCAGACCGGCGCCTTCAAGACCAAGGCCTTGAAAACCGAGGCCGCAGGGTTCTAGCGGGTTCCTTTTCGGGCCTTTCCGAAAGTGATCCAGGCCTAGGACCTATGGGTTTGCATCCCTTCACCTGCCCGGAAATACATCATCGAACTGCGCTTGTTGCTGCGGCATGGATGGTCAAACAGGCCAGTGCCAATAGCGGTCACGGCGACACACCGACACCGACACACACACACAACCCAATCGAGTCAACTCGGGTGACAGGGAGTGCTCAGCGGCGCTAACGGCCGACAAAATCAGTTCGCCCTTGCTGCGAAGAGCTTCCAGGCGGAAATCTTCTCAATGCTTCAGATCCGAGACTATCGCGCTCTGATGTCTTCAAGTTCTGCACAGTTTTATAGTCCCTGGCCAGTGAAGTCAGCTCTGTGATGCTTCCGTTTTCGCGTCCTCCAGTCAAGACTGAGATTGTGACCTTGGCAGGGTCCGCCAACGGTGAAACCTGCCGGTGCCATTGGTGATGGCCTGGAAAGTCTGGAGTCGAAAGCTTTCGAGTGAAACGGCGAATCCACATGATTCATGATTGCACAGATGAGCCGTCGAAATCAGTGAAGAGCCACGCAAGCAAGCAGACCCCGCACGAATGACTGCACATCACCCTGACCTGCCACATGGCCCCCCCATTCACCAAAGCTTCCACGGACAGAAGTGTAGCGTGCCTTTCGGCGATGAGCGGCACCGCTTGGAAACAACTTCCGTCACTTCAGATTTTGTGACATGACTTTGAGAGACTGCGGGAGCTAGGCAGAGCACACAAGGCAGATGACATACAACTCTTGTGATACCTCTTGAAGCCTGGCTCACAGCGTCCTGGTGTGCCATGACTCGGCAGGCCGGGCTACCGTGGCAAATTCGCTGCACAGCAATTTATTTCATGGGTTTTAGGGCGAGGGAAGGCTGGGACAAGCTTTGCAAATGAAGTGTTGTGCGCTTGCTGTCTTCTTTATAGTTGCGCACTCCCGCTGGCAGGGCTATCTTCTGCCCAGGGGGGGGATGCCCGTTCCAGGTACCCCTCAACGCATGGAGCTAAGCAGGTGAGCTTGGCATGGGAGAGGTACATCACATGGGTCTGCACCTTTGTGGCACTCCGTGCCATGCCTTGATACTTGAGGCATCCTGGAAGATGCTGAGGAGGTGCCCAGCACAGAGCTCTGTGTGAAGTGTGGTGTGGCGGCAGTTGCGGATGCAGGATACAAGGTCACGGATACTGGTTTTCAGAAATGTGCCCTGCGGACGCAGTTGTTGGATTCAGCAAAGCTGCAGGTCGATGTCGAGGATTCGCCACGGCTGCCGTCAGACTGGTCTCCGCTCGAGTATGAGCTTCTGGAGTGCGCAGCACATAGTTCTCACTCACGGCTGAGAAGATTTTTGGAATTTTGCTACATCTTCTCCTCAGCAGCTTAGCAGAAGTCCTAAGATCATTTCCTCTGTGGAACTGATGTGGCCCATCCTCGGAGGTATGCAGACTCCTTGCCTTCTGGCTTTGCTGAGCGAATCGGCAGAGAGCTAGAGGCATTACGCTCAATTATACGGATGACTTGAGCACCACTCATGGGCTGTGCGCACCCTTTTCCCGCATTGACTGCAGGCTACAGTCTAGAAGATTCTAGAGGCTTCACTTGGTTATATTGAGGTGCTACCTGTCCTCGTGTCAGCGATTCCCTGAAGGGGCAGCATCGTCGAGTGGCGCAGTTGCGCAGCCTCAACTCTCTGATGCTCCATGTCCTCCAGTCCGAGGCCGGTCCTTTGGGGGCAATGCCCCCGCTGTTTTGGGCTTCTTGCAGTCTGCAGTGTTTGTTTGTCCGGTGCAGGGGCTGCTGGCCCGCAGCGGAACGGCAAGCCAGGCCGAGCAGAGCAAGTCCTGAAACCAAGCCAGGAAGGTGGAACGCACCTTGCATCCCCAAACACCCCGCGAGCCTGAAAGCACTGCGAACGCAAAGGCAGGGACCTCGAAACGGGCGTTCGCAGCTTTTGGGGCCCAGCTTGACATGAAGGAGCGCACAACAACCCTGGAGCGAAGATAGGTCTCGGGGCAACCCTGGGATGTCACATCGATGAGCAAGACACCATCTGAAATCAGGCTCCAAGGCTAGGGCCGACACAGTCTGCCCCCACGGAGGTGAAAGCGCTTTCGGAGACATGCCAGACCCATGCCTTGACCTCACTCTGCAGTCTAGTTGTGTCTAGGCCTGGAAGTGGCAGTTTCAACTCAGGTAGAGACTCGGACGGATCGCTCTCCGAGACAAGCGCCGGCAGTGCCCAAGGCTTGGCAGGTTCGGTCCTGAGTGGAGAACCCTTCAGCCTGCCCAGCCTGCACGGGCTAGGGCTATGCAGAACGTACAAAGCCTACCACGATTCTGGTCTTGGTTCAGAAGTACTCCCAAGATGCGCCTTTGAAGTCGAGTGACAGCAGCAGGGAGCACGTGATTGAAGCACTTCCGCGACTCAAACGTGTCGCTTTTGCTCTTGCAGCGTCTCCATGGGATGTTTCCATTGCAGGAGCCAGCCGTGACGCCTCGGAAGGAGGCTCCGTGAGACAGCCATGTCCAGGGTTGGCGGAGTCTCAGCCTGGGAGACCAGACGAGACGAGGCTTCACAGCGCTTAGTGCTGGCGTCCGTGTCCAGACAGCTGGAACTAAAGGTCTTCGAGGCAGGGCTTTGTGGAAAATTGCGCTTCTGTCTCAAGAAGCCAGCATCACAAGCTGGTGCTGGCACAGGTGCGCCGTGCCGCGGAGAAGGAGTTGAAGGATCCTCCATGTTTGTTGGCTTCGAGCCTTCGTTCGGGCTGACTGCACGGTGGAAGGAGCTTTCGCATCGAGTCCGAGCTGCAGAGGACCGGTCCTGTGGAAGTCGCACGCTTGAGATGGCGCTCTATGACTCTATCTTGGACAGAGAGGAGCACAACTGGAAGCTTCGTAAAGAGTCCTGCAGCGAAGACGTGGCTGGCCGAAAGAAGCTCTGGGAGGCTCGAAGAGTTGGCACTGCAGAGCTGCCGTAGCAGGGTCTTAGAGCCAGAAAACGGATTTCTGGCCTTGTGCAGACGGCTCGTCCCAGATATCAGTGCACTGTGCTCGCAAAGACTACAGCCAGTGTGGTTGGGTACAGCATAACGTTTCAAGACCTTGAGAGAGGCAGAGACGAAGCTGAATCGGCTTCAGAATCGTCGCAGCCTTGTCTAGAGCAGAGATTGAATCCCTGCTTGGACTCGTGCCTTGAGCTGTCAATCACCACATGGGGTCAGTTTGCAGCTACCTCTGAGCCCGTCTTGCGAGGTGTCCAGCAGCTGGAAACCCGGCGTCGGACCTGGGCCCGCAAGTTGCGACAGCGCGAGGAGGAGGCGCTGGCACTGGAGGGGTCCTACCCGAGGCGCCCCAAGGCGAGGTGCCCAAGGCGCCCGGAGCTCTCAGCGTCTAGATGACTGCATAGATTACATACAGGAAACTGGTGTTGGGGCTTGCCCAGGCCGTTCGCATCCCTGCTAATGCTTCAGCCGGACTGTGTGCACCGCAAGCGTATCCCGGGGAATGCTTAACAGACACGAAAAAGCCCTCCCGGACACATCTCCAAAGAGCGACAGTCACAGCAGAGGTTCGACAGGTGACAGCCTCCATCGCTGAGATGTCGGCCGAGGTGCTGATTCCGTATTTGGGACGAACACAGCTGCCTACTCGTACGAGGGATTCCGAGAGATAAGCATGAGACAGCTACACGAGCCAAAGCCGGTCTGGAAAGCCAATATTGGTTTTCGCATGATTGTCCCTCCATGGCACTGCCTTCAGACTTCAAACCATGGATTGAATCCGTCTCGCTGCACTGGCTGAACGAATCACACAGCAGATGTCGAAGGTCAAATTTATTCAGGCAGTTCGGAACCGCGGCCCCATCGTCGGAGTACAGTGAAACAAGCTCAGGCAAGAAGAGTATCAGCAGCAAGGACAGCAAAGCGACCAAAAGCTCCAATTGCAGGACAGCATTAGCAGTGTCCTTAGTGGAAGGGATGCATACATGCAACCAGTGTGGAATGGCTCGTGTTCTGATACCAAGACGTCAACTCTGCATCATTCAACAAGCCAGGATTCACCGTAGCTTTTAAGGCAAGGGCACATCTAAGGGCCCAAGAGTATGTCATCACATTTGGTTTAAAAGCTCCTGCGACGCATGTCGGTCTAGCTCAGAGGGATCGAGATCGAGGCACATGTTGTAGCATCAGTGTCAGAGATCTTAACTCATTTCAAAGACTGCCCAGCCAGGTCAATAGCGTGCGAGCGCAGGCGAAGGACTCCAACCTCAGCCAGTCAAACCCTGTTATGCAAGCACGGCTCGTCCAGTAAGAGCAAGCATTCCAAGTATGCACGTTGACGTGGAGTCCGAGATTGCAGCGTTCCGGCTCTGAGGCCAAAGTGCCAACGCCCTTTGTGTGTTGCCTCCCTGCACGTGGCACAAGAGAAAACGACAGGCAGTAACATGTATGCAAACAAGATACGAACACGTGCCTGCAGCATGTATGTGAGACTACGTGTATAGGTAGTATATATATATGTATGTATGTATGTATGTATGTATGTATGTATGTATGTATGTATGTATGTATCTGCACACAGAGACGGGTGTAAATGTCCACACACGCACACCCACACGCACAAATTGCCCAATCTGCATGTACACTTATGTGTGGGACGTATGTGAGTTCATGCACAAGGAGCCAGAGGTATTTACATGCACGCGGCCGGGCATGACATAGATAGAGCAAGCGTCTATCTCCTCGTGCTCTTCAAGAGAAAGGCACCTGTGCTCTGCCATGGCGTTGATGCTTCACTCTGGTGTGGCGCTACCCCAGGCACCAGTCTCACAGAGTGGAAGTGACACAGCCTCGATCATCGAATCAGGAGAGCATCTCTCAGCCCTTCAGGCCACGGGACCGGGCCTGCGAGAGCCAGAGTGAGCTACGTTTGCAAGGTCTGTGACTTCTCATGTCGCTGGAGCATCCTGTCGAGGGTAGCTGCGTTGCTGCTGTGAGCTGTAGCTCCAGCTCTTTGCGCTGTGGCTTTGAGGCCGATTCCTCGCAGTGGAGCTGACCCAGAGGTCGGTTTCGCACCTTCGACGGAGGATCCGATGCAGCAGCCCCGTTTGCAGGCAAATCGCCGGTCCAAGTCGCATCCTTCGCAGGCCAGGAGAGGAGCAGTTGGTTTCAAAGATGCTCCCGCAAAAACTGAAGCCATTCACCAGGCTTTCCGCAGGGCTCCATCCGAGTCGCAGCCTCGTGCACGCTCCGAGGAGGCTGCATTTGGACGGGCCACAGCACCATCTAATGCAGGGCACTTGCTAGTAGCTGAATGCAGGCCCCTGCTGCATGCCCCGACTCTTCATGGGATGAGGATGAGGATGAAGAGGTCTGCTGGTTACTCCTTCAGAGCCAGCCGTTGCCTTTCTGTCGTGCAGGAAGACGTGGACTCCGAGGATGCTCCCACCTTTTCGAACATGTCTGCGGCTTCTTTGCT